ATATATTGAGTTATATTGATGTTTCAATTGATGTTTTGTTTTTATGTTTTATGTTATTGTTTGTATCATGTGAAGGGCTCCGTTGTAAAGCAGTTTCTTTTTACTGAATAGGACTACCCTCCACTGTTTTATCAATTGTAATAAATAAAAGATGAATAAATAAATAAATAAATAAATAATAGCAGTATAGTACAATCACACTTGGACGTTTGGATTATTTTCATGTGTCAGTAATTGTCAAATTATGTTGTTTTCTGACATTTCGGATTACAAGTAAGGCAAATGAAGCTTTATATTTTTGAACAAAGAAAGTACTGAATACTTATTTGTATCAACTATAGCACGTTGTTATTCAGATGAGATATTTAGAATAACCATACAATTATTTATACAAAGAATTCGCACAAATCAATCTAGGTCATATTTGTATATTGCATAAAGACAAGTGTTACTTGGAAGGTCATTGAAGTACATAATATGTATTTTATCTGTCTTTCATTATACATTGCATGATTTGAAAGGGAGTTACAAAATATACTTTCACCCTTCATACAATATTCAGAGTAATTAAGCTCGATTCTCCAGTCCGTGAAATACCGTCAATTATCCCAGCGCTGTCCCTTACTTAGTCGGACTGCTACCGATTTAATACCAATGAAATTATTACAAGGGTTCGATTACCTTTTGATTATTAAATATAATTTATCATTGCTTCAATGGGCCATTTTCATAATGCCATCAAATTTAATGCACAAACATTATAGCTTGTCCTACCTAGCGTCACGGAATACATGCGATTCGCATTCTGACTGCTGGAATACAATTACTCGTAACAGGTAATGAAATATTTTCAAAAAAACATTTAATGACATTACGAAAATGGGCTTTTAGTTAAAAGCTATGAAAATAGACAAGAAAAAAGTAGGAGAGAGTCCTTGAATCACCGTTAATACGTCCCCATTCGTCAGAGTGTCATCACAATGTTTATAACTTTCTGAAGTTAGTAACTGTGCCTCTTATAACATTTTTAGAAATACTTGTTTTGATAAATCTTGTGATTTAAAATGTATATCTCCTACAGGTGTGTGTCGGTGTTTGTGTATACTCGTATACATACACACATATATATATTATACAAACAGTGACACCTCAGTGTAAAAGGCTCTGATATATTAATGTATATGTTATAGCAAGGTGATTTTGCTGGTCCCAGCTGTCTATATTCGTATAATGTAACTAAATTCCAGATATTACAAGGACCTCATGAACACGAGTTTCAACTGTACATATAAACACTTGGTATTGGGCAGGGTAAAACAACTCTGTTGAAAAGTTTAGGATTGACAAGTTTAGGATAAACTCGATTTCGCCCATAGGGCTTCTTGAAGTTAGGATTTAGAACTTTAGAAAACTTTACCTTTTCTTGTGCAGGGCATATTTTGTAAGATGGTGGTGGCCCTTCGCCAGAGTCAACTCTACATCCTGACCTTTGACCCGGCTACCTGGGTCTCGAACCCAGCAAGCACTATTATACAATATTTTTTTTAATGAATAAATAACTGAGGCAATTTCAAACAATTGATTTCGACACATAAACTTTTGCCCGGCACCATCGATTTAACGGACCCAACAAACAAAAGGAAGTTGTGAACCTCCATGGCAACTCCATGGCAGTTGAAGAAAAATGAACACTGGAAAGAATTAATCAATTTTTGAGCCAGAGAAAAGGAAACAGCGCCATCTAATCTTCATTGATGAATAACCCGAAAAACAATATTAATAATCTCTTCATAGGAGAATAATCTCTTCAGATTGGTGACCACAACCGGATTCGACAGTGAACAATATTTAGTCGAAAGAATTGCCGTATGTTTATATTCGCATGTGAGTGAAACCGCCTGATAATCTGAAATACAATAAAAAAAACTCTAGACGATTTGTACATTTTTAATTCTTATTAAATCTTTTCTATACCATCAACATTCATGTCCAACTTATAGTGACCTCAAATAGCTTCAAACATGAAGCTGAAATACAAGTATGTGCAATAAAGAATGTACACATACTAGACTGTAACTCAATATATGAAAACAAATACTCTGTGACAGCTAAAATGGAAGAGAGGGAATGATATATATATATATAGAAAGGGGGGAAAGGAAATCAAATAGATGGATAGATATATAGACGCAGGTAGATAAAGACTCAGAGAGATGGATAGATGAAGAAAGAGAGAGAGAAAGAGAGAGAGATGAAGAGAGAGGGCAGACTGAGATAGATATAGAGAGAGCTGAAGAGAGAGAGATGGAGACAGAGAGAGAGAGATAAAGAGAGAGAGAGAGAGAGAGAAAGAGAGATGAAGAGAGAGGGATAAAGAGATAGATAGAGAGAGAGAGATCAAGAGAGAGAGAGAAAGATGAAGAAAGAAAGAGAGAGATAAAGAGAGAGATGAAGAGAAAGAGAGAGAGAGAGAGAGATGAAGAGAGAGGGCAGACTAAGATAAATATAGAGAGAGATGAAGAGAGAGAGATGGAGACAGAGAGAGAGAGATAAGAGAGAGAGAGAGAGAGAGAGAGAGAGAGATGAGAGAGAGAGAGAGTGATGAAGAGAGATGATCAAAAAAGAGTGAGACTGAGATAGAGAAGGAGAAAGTGAAAGGGAGAGAGAGAGAGAGAGAGAGCGAGATGAAGAGAGAAAAAAAGTGAACCTCTCGTCCTCCAATCCGATTTTCAATGGAATTAAAATGTTATAGCATAGGAGCAAATAAAAGGGGCACTTATCGAAAGGTAAGAAGGGGCATTGATGAAAATGGGAAGGGGTTGTTATTAAAACAATGAGAGATGCACTTATCACTAGTAAAAAAAGGAGCACTTCTTAGGCAGGACAAGGGACACATGTCAAAGTAAAAATGGCAATTATCAGAGGTTTAAAGGGGCATTTGTGAAAGGAAAAGGGGCACTTTTCGCACCTGAAAGTAAACACCTACCACAGATGAAAAGGGGTACTCACCACGATCATTCACATTTTACACGTTTGAATGTTCATATAAAATGCCCTAGCTGTGGTAAATTCTTCCAAAATCGGATCGCATTCGGATTGTGTATAGTGTGCGCTGAGCCTTGGAGACTGGTTTGTGTTCCATTGATAATTCTCTCTGTCCCAGTCGACTGGCTGCGCCTATAACGACAGGGTGGCAATAAACAAAACGGACTAGCATACTTCCGATAATGCAGAGCACCGGTATCAGTGAATGGGGAATCTTTTAAAAAGAACGTTTTGATAATATAATAATAATATTTATGTAATACACCGGCTGTATAACCTGACGCCGCACGAGCCCCCATGATAAGGGGCTCAAACATTCAATGAAGTTTTTTCTACTAGAAACCCTTTCACTTCACCTGGGTGGAGAGTGGTAATTGTAGATTATATTTTCTCGCCAAAGTACATTAGTGTCACGCGGTGGGATTCGAACCGCGAGCCATTTGATCCACAGTCCGATGACGGGTATTTACCATAGACCACGACACCTCGACAAACCAAATTTCGTAGTTTAGGGATGCAATTTTTGGCAAAAATATTGAAAAGATCCACTGGCAGTGCGCTATGCGAATATCACGTATTATTGTTGATTTTCAGAATGATATTAATGCATGCATTGGTCAAGCTGTAAATAAACATCAGATTGAACATAAATTAACTTTCTAAACAATATTTTTACAGGCGTATTTAATGATTTAACGCAGACATAAAATATTACTTATGTTTTTAAATATTGTTTCCGTAATATTGGACACACATGAACTCCTATGAATCTCAACCAAATGTGTACATGTCGGTAGCATATTTTTCACGAGAACATATTCTTCTTCCTCATGTTATGCTAGTCCCTTTTTCTATTTGGCCACCTTGTATAGGTCTATTGTCGACTTTTCATTGAGGCGAGTACAAAAGTAAACAGAAACTAAATTCCGGTCATATGTCAATTTCTACAATATATGTTTTTGAGGAAGCAGCTAGCATAATTCACAGCCGAGTGACGGTTATAGTGCAGCAACTAGGAATAGAGCTGCGTGTATTTATTGTAGTCTGTATCGAACGTCATATCATACAAGTTTCCTATGAGATCGCGCTGGGTCTTTTTATTTTGGAATAATAACATTGCCATATGTGTAGGCCTAGGTCGCCTAAACACATTCGTGATTTGACTACGCAAGGTTAAGGATATGGCACATTAAAGAGGCATGTTCCCCGTATTCCAGAGGGCGTTCAAAATACGTACCCGCTGGCGGACGGTGCTAGCTGCCTATTGACACCAACATAATACGGCTCTTACGCAGATGGCATGTTCCGAATGCCCGGACAATACCGATTATCGCATACATGTGCCGAAGTAATGCCAATCGCAGTTCGGCTGTAAGATTCGGCTGCTGTTTCCGCCCACTTTCGTGACGTCGCGATCGTCAGCGATCAGCTGGCTTGGCGAAGGCAGGCCAAGCCGCGCGTACTTTGATTGACAGCTGTATGCAAATATGCAAGTCGATCTTCGGAACCAAGATGGCGATGACCAGAGCAGCGCAACTGCACTGCGGGGACGATGCTCCTTTAAAGGAAGTTTGGAAGACTGTCATGTTTATTCGGAATGTAACGTACCGATGCAGCTGGCAAGAACAATTAATTGAATATATTATGAGAAGAAGTGATCTTCTTTCAGGGCAAGAATAATCACGCGGTCCAAATAAAGTTTGTAGGCTCATTAAACCATTGTCAGCCGTTATACTGGGAGCAAATAATAAGCAGCACGGTATTGCCTATCTATCTATCTTTGTCCCATAGCTTGGAACCATTGGGGTGACAATAAAAATGAACCCTGAGACGCAGCTTTTTCACAACTTCAGCTGTTATACAGTTCTAGTTCGCCAATAAGAATAATAGCCTATACTTCAATTATAATAATTAAGATATTACAGGTAAACTTTCAGATCAGTTGAATTATTATCATGGCTTGGAACAGGTTACAAAGAGCAGCCCTTTCTGAGGCTAAAAATGATGATTTGACACATCTCCAAGCAGCAGCATCCAATGGTCACCTGGAGGTTGTACAGGTTCTCATTGGCCAAGGAGCAGATCTAAATAAGGCTGGTGATGACGGCAGGACACCTCTCCACGCGGCATCATCCAATGGTCACCTCGATGTTGTACAGTTTCTCATTGGCCAAAAAGCAGATCTAAATAGGGCTGGTAATGATGGCGGCACACCTCTCCAAGCGGCTTCACTCAAAGGTCACCTCGATGTTGTACAGTTTCTCACTAGCCAAAAGGTAGATCTAAATACGGCTGATGATGATGGCAGGACACCTCTCCATGCGGCATCATTCAATGGTCACCTCGATGTTGTACAGTTTCTTATTGGCCAATCTAAATATTGCTAGTAATGGTGGTAGGACACCTCTCCACGCGGCATCATCAAATGGTCACATCGATGTTGTACAATTTCTCATTGGCCAAGGGGCAGATCTAAATAGGGCTGGTAATGGTGGCAGGACACCTCTCCACGAGGCATCACTTAAAGGTCGCCTCGATGTTGTAGAGTTTCTCACTGGCCAAAAAGCAGATCTAAATAGGGCTGTTAATAATGGCAGCACACCTCTAGAAGCGTTATCACGCAAAGGTCACCTCGATGTTGTACAGTTTCTCATTGGCCAACAAGCAGATCTAAACAGGGCTGGTAGTAAGGGGCGTACACCTCTCCAAGTGGCATCATTCAATGGTCACCTCGATGTTGTACAGTTTCTCATTGGCCAAGGAGCAGCTCTAAATAGGACTGGTAATGGTGGCAGCACACCTCTCCATGCGGCATCATTCAGTGGTCAGGTCGAAGTTGTACAGTTTCTCATTGGCCAAGGAGCAGATCTCAGTAGGGCTGGTAATGATGGCAGGACACCTCTCCAAGCGGCATCATCAAATGGTTACCTCAATGTTGTAGAGTTTCTCACTGACCAAGAAGCAGATCTAAATAGGGCTGGTTTTGATGGGCGCACACCTCTCCACTCGCAGTTAATTGATAAAGGTAAGTTCAGTTGATATTTCGTACGTTCCGGCTTATGTACTGTACATTTCTTTGACACTTCCTGTTTTTATAATTTATCATTTTCATTATTCATTTAGGGAAATATCTGAATCAATTGTTGATATTGGACATTTTGAAGAAAAAAAAAACTACCCACTAGGACAACTACCCCCCTACAACAACCATCCTCTATGACAACTATCCTAGGGGGTAGTTGTCTGGGGCGGAGTTGTCCAGGGATAGTTGTTCGGGGGTAGTTGTTTTAGGGGGTAATTGTCTGGGGGTAGTTGATTGGGGGTGCTTATCCGGGGGTGGATTTCCAGGGGGTAGGTGTCCGGATACGATTTTGTTCATCGTCTGTTCAATGCTACTTGAATATACTACTTTATATGTTAGGCTTCATAGGAGAAGTTAAAGTATTTGTAAAGAAACGTTTGGCTTGCACCTGTCCAGTAGGTCCCTCTAAATGCAAGATTTTTTGTTTCTTCTTTCGACAACAAAATCGAACACGCGATCTTAACTCACTTGTAACTCAGTTGATCCAGGATCATCTGTTGTTCCTATCCATGGTTTCCTCTGGTTAGGGTTATCACCATAATTATCTGGGCCATCTCTCCACCAGTTCTCAAGTCCAGATTTGAAGCGATTGATTGTGGTACTCTCCACAACATCGCCTAGAAGACCATTCCACACATTGATTATTATCTGGCTAAATGAGTTTTTCCTTAGTGTCTTCCGGCATCTTAGCTTGTTATGCTTAAGTGAGTGACCATGGGTGCGACTGCACTTTGTTCTGCTCTTGAAGATTGTCAAACTGGTGCATTATCCTGGACACTTGAATCATATCAGATCGTTTCCGTCCGAACTGTAGAGTGGGGATTTTCAGTGCTTTGAGTCTCTCTGAGTAGTTTAAGTGTCTCACACTTTGGCAAGTTTTGTAGCTCTCTATAATGTACTAGGTGCAAGCAAAATATTTCTTTACAAGACAGTACACCATTTTGGTACTATCAATTGCCATCACATGGAAGATAAATTCATAAGTACCTAGGTTTCATAATTTTAAAGAAAACTGAATTTGAACCCCACACAACCCCCTCCCCCCCTCTCTCTCAATAAAGTTAAGGAAATGTATGCACCCCCCCCCCCCGGAGCTACGTCACTGACTGTCCATTGTATTCCAGACAGTAGGTCTTACAAGTAAAATGGAAGCTGGAACAAGGATGATGTAGTAAATAATTGTTATAGCTACTGTTTCCGATAGTTGCAATTGGATGATCTCTTGAAGTTCAGGATTTACCATATTGATGATGAAAACGATGAATTTTCAACATGGATATTGGTATCATTCATGTAAACGATGAGGATAAAATAATGCTGTGTTTAAACACGGTAGCCTCGGCAGTGTTAAATCTGTTCCCTTTTTGAAAGCCCTGCAATCCTATGATTGTACACAAGGATCGAGCTTTTTGATATTTTGAAAATCAAATGTCTTCACAATTGAGAATACATGTACATGTATGTCATAAATTATCATCTTTAATGAATACACATATTTGTACCTTTCCCGAGTTTTGCTTGGTTATTTGGTACTGAAGGAACAACATGAAAGAAAACTATTTACATGACCACATTCATGTTTTATTCATTCTATTTCTAATACTTTCTCATGTTCTTAAGACACTATCATTTTTGTTGTGCATCGTTTTATCTAGCTTTATGTCTCATGACTATTTGTAGGGAAAAGCAATCATATCAACAAATATGCACCATTGCTGCTCTTCAATATGACTATGATATGCAATAGGAAATTAATCTGTCATGACTCATGATAAATTCGTTTAACAATTAATTTTACCTGATTGATTCCACTGTTCACAGGATTTAGTAGAGAGAGAGAGAGAGGGGTAGTATTGATCATTCTCACGATTAACGACGATGTTTTATTCTCATTTGTTCATCGTCTCTACAATGCTATTTACCTTTTTATGTTGGGCTTCCTGGGAGAGGTTTCATTTGTTGTAAAGGATTGTTTGGCGTGCACCCAGTAGGTCCCTCTGAATTCATTTTTTTCCTTCTCTTGAATGGATTTCAATAACAACATCGAGCACGCGATCTTAATCTTTAGAAATCGGATCGCAGTAGAATCGGGTAGTGTGCGCTGTGCTTTAGGGACTGATATGTGTTTCATTGATACTTCCCTTGTCTGTCCCAGTCGACTGGCTGCGCCTAAAAGAACAGGGTGGCATTTAAAAAACGGACAAGTAAACTTTCGACAATTTAGGACAATCTATACCGGTATCTGTAAATTGGTGTTTTTTTTTAAAGAACGTAATAATATATATTTATGTCCTTTTGTATACCCCGGCTGTATAATGTCTAGCCCCATAGGTCCCCATGATAAGGTGCTGAAACATTCAATGAATTTCTTCCCACTGGGTAACCATTTACTTCACCTGGGTGGGGAGTGGCAATCGTAGATTATAATGACTCGCCAAAGCACATTAGTGCCGCGCGACGGAACTCGAACTATAGATCAAGACACATCTACACGAAAAATATGTCGTATTTTAGGGGTGCATTTTTCTGCCACAATGTTAAAAACATTATTGGTAGTGCTACTTGCGAAAATTGCGTGTCATTGATGAGTTTTGTAACGGTTTTATCTTTGATCGAGCCTTGGTCAAGCTCTAATAAACATCAGATTGAACACAAAGTAACTTTACAAAACATTTTTAAAGCGTTTTTAATGATTTAAACACAGACATAACATCATGCTAATGGTTTAAAATGGTGTGTCATTGATACTGGAGTAATTTGATCTCCTATGAATTATTGCATTGATCACAAAATGTTCCCTAAAACAAACCCCCACCCCTATCGAATTTGTAGATATTGATATCATATTTTTCACGATAAAATGTCTTCCTTCCTCACCTTATGCGAATATGCTTGTACGTTTTTATTGGGTCACCCTGTAAAGTGCTAGCCTTTTGTCGACTATCTATTGAGCGGAGTAAAAAAAAAAAGAAACAGGAACTAAATTTAGGTCATATTTCAATTTCTACAATATATGTTTTTTGAGGAGGAAGCTAGCATAATGCACATCTGACTGACGGTTGAGTGTGTTAGGGCCATGATGCAGCTACTGGAATAGAGCAGCGTCCATTGTAGCCTGTACTAAACGTTATATCATACAAGTTTCGTGAGATCGTGCTGTTTTTTGTATTTCGGAATAACAACATTGCCATATCTGTAGGTCTAGCCCGCTTATACACATTCGAAAGGAGGTGATAGATATGAGACAATAATGGGAGAATGTATAAGACCGTCGTGTTTATTCGGAAATGGAACGTACCGATGAAGCTGACATGAACAACATTTGATTAATAGAATGTGGAGAAGAAGTGATATCCTTTGTGGGCAAGAAGCGTTACGCGGTCTAAATGAAGTTTGCTGGTGCATTATAGAAGACCACTGCCAACCGTTTTACTCGGAGCAGATAATAAGCGGCACTTATAGTCTATCTATCTATCTTCGTCCCATAGCTTGGAGTCGTTAGGGGCGACAATAACTTCATGTCTTCATTGGCTGTAATACAGTTCTAGTTGGCTGATCAAATAGCCTATAAACTTTAATTATACAGTCTAGAAATTACAGGCAGACACTCAGATCAGTTTTATTTCCATCATGGATGGGGACAAAATTAAAAAAGCAGACGTTCCAGAGGCTGAAAATGATGATTGGACACCTCTCCATGGGGCATCATTCAATGGTCACCTCGATGATGTACAGATTCTCATTGGCCAAGGAGCAGATCTAAACAGGGAAGATAAGGATGGATGGACACCTCTCGATGCAGCATCATTCAATGGTCACCTCGATCTTGTACAGTTTCTTATTAGTGAAGGAGCAGATCTAAAAAGGGCCAATAAAGATGGTATGACACCTCTCTACACGGCCTCATTAAATGGTCACCTTGAAGTTGTACAGTTTCTCATTGGCCAAGGAGTGGATCTAAATAGTGCTTGTAATGATGGCAGAACACCTCTCTTCGTCGCATCATCCAATGGTCAACTCGATGTTGTACAGTTTCTTATTGGTCAAGGAGCAGATCTTAAAGGAGCGGATAAGGATGGAAGGACACCTCTCTACGCGGCATCAGCAAACGGTCACCTCGATGTTGTACAGTTCCTCATTGGCCAAGGAGCAGATTTAAATAGGGATGGTAATGATGGTAGCACACTTCTAGAAGCAGCATCTCTCAAAGGTCACCTCGACGTTGTACAGTTTCTCATTGGCCAAAAAGCAGATTTCAAAAGGGCTGGTATTGGTGGACGCACACCTCTCCAAGCGGCATCATTAAATGGTCACCTCAATGTTGTACAGTTCCTCGTTGGCGAAAAAGCAGATCTTAATAGGCCAGGTATTGGTGGGCGCACACTACTTCAAGTGGCATCTTCCAACGGTCACCTCGATGTTGTACAATTTCTCATTGGCCAAGGAGCAGATCTAAATAGTTCTAGTTATGACGGCAGCACATCTCTGGAATTGGCATCTCTCAAAGGTCACCTCGATGTTGTACAGTTTCTTATTGGCCAAGGAGCAGATCTAAAAGGGGCGGATAAGGATGGAAGGACACCCCTCTTCGTCGCTTCATCCAAAGGTCACCTCGATGTTGTACAGTTTCTTATTGATCAAGGAGCAGATCTAAAAGGGGCGGATAAGGATGGAAGGACACCTCTACACGCGGCATCAGCAAACGGTCACCTCGATGTTGTACAGTTTCTTATTGGCCAAGGAGCAGATCTTAAAGGGGCGGATAAGGATGGAAGGACACCTCTCTATGCGGCATCAGCAAACGGTCACCTCTATGTTGTACAGTTTCTTATTGGCCAAGGAGCAGATCTAAAAGGGGCGGATAAGGATGGAAGGACACCTCTCTACGCGGCATCACTCAAAGGTCACCTCGATGTTGTACAGTTTCTTATTGGACAAGGAGCAGATCTAAAAGGGGCGGATAAGGATGGAAGGACACCTCTCTACGCGGCATCACTCAAAGGTCACCTCGATGTTGTACAGTTTCTTATTGGTCAAGGAGCAGATCTAAAAGGGGCGGATAAGGATGGAAGGACACCTCTCTACGCGGCATCATTCAATGGTCACCTCGATGTTGTACAGTTTCTTATTGGCCAAGGAGCAGATCTAAAAGGGGCGGATAAGGATGAAAGGACACCCCTCTTCGTCGCTTCATCCAAAGGTCACCTCGATGTTGTACAGTTTCTTATTGATCAAGGAGCAGATCTAAAAGGGGCGGATAAGGATGGAAGGACACCTCTCCACGCGGCATCACTCAAAGGTCACCTCGATGTTGTACAGTTTCTTATTGGCCAAGGAGCAGATCTAAAAGGGGCGGATAAGGATGGAAGGACACCCCTCTTCGTCGCTTCATCCAAAGGTCACCTCGATGTTGTACATTTTCTTATTGATCAAGGAGCAGATCTAAAAGGGGCGGATAAGGATGGAAGGACACCTCTCCACGCGGCATCAGCAAACGGTCACCTCGATGTTGTACAGTTTCTTATTGGCCAAGGAGCAGATCTAAAAGGGGCGGATAAGGATGGAAGGACACCTCTCTACGCGGCATCAGCAAACGGTCACCTCGATGTTGTACAGTTTCTTATTGGCCAAGGAGCAGATCTAAAAGGGGCGGATAAGGATGGAAGGACACCTCTCTACGCGGCATCAGCAAACGGTCACCTCGATGTTGTACAGTTTCTTATTGGCCAAGGAGCAGATCTAAAAGGGGCGGATAAGGATGGAAGGACACCTCTCTACGCGGCATCAGCAAACGGTCACCTCGATGTTGTACAGTTTCTTATTGGCCAAGGAGCAGATCTAAAAGGGGCGGATAAGGATGAAAGGACACCCCTCTTCGTCGCTTCATCCAAAGGTCATCTCGATGTTGTACAGTTTCTTATTGATCAAGGAGCAGATCTAAAAGGGGCGGATAAGGATGGAAGGACACCTCTCCACGCGGCATCACTCAAAGGTCACCTCGATGTTGTACAGTTTCTTATTGGTCAAGGAGCAGATCTAAAAGGGGCGGATAAGGATGGAAGGACACCTCTCCACGCGGTATCACTCAAAGGTCACCTCGATGTTGTACAGTTTATTTTTGGTCAAGGAGCAGATCTAAAAGGGGCGGATAAGGATGGAAGGACACCTCTTCAAGTGGCATCATGCAATGGTCACCTCGATGTTGTACAATTTCTTATTGGCCAAGGAGCAGATCTAAAGAGGGCGGATAAGGATGGAAGGACACCTCTCTACATGGCATCATGCAATGGTCACCTCGAGGTTGTACAGTTTCTCATTGGCCAAGGAGCAGATCTAAATAGTGCTAGTAATGATGGCAGTACACCTCTAGAAATGGCATCACTCGAAGGTCACCTTTATGTTGTACAGTTTCTTATTGGTCAAGGAGCAGATCTAAAAGGGGCGGATAAGGATGGAAGGACACCTCTCTACGCGGCATCATTCAATGGTCACCTCGATGTTGTACAATTTCTTATTGGCCAAGGAGCAGATCTAAAGAGGGCGGATAAGAAAGGCACGACACCTCTCTACATGGCATCATGCAATGGTCACCTCGAGGTTGTACAGTTTCTCATTGGCCAAGGAGCAGATCTAAAGAGGGCGGATAAAGAAGGCAGGACGCCTCTCTATATGGCATCATGCAATGGTCACCTCGAGGTTGTACAGTTTCTCATTGGCCAAGGATCAGATTTAAATAGTGCTAGTAATGATGGCAGTACACCTCTAGAAATGGCATCACTCGATGGTCACCTTTATGTTGTACAGTTTCTCATTGGCCAAGGAGCAGATCTAAATAGTGTGGATAAAGGTGGTATGACACCTCTCTTCACGTCCTCATTCAGTGGTCACCTCGATGTTGTAGAGTTTCTCATTGGCCAAGGAGTGGAACTAAATGGGGTTTGTAATGATGGCAGAACACCCCTCTTCGTCGCATCATCCACTGGTCACCTCGATGTTGTACAATTTCTCATTGGCCAAGGAGCAGATCTAAAAGGGGCGGATAAGGATGGAAGGACACCTCTCTACGCGGCATCACTCAAAGGTCACCTCGATGTTGTACAGTTTCTTATTGGACAAGGAGCAGATCTAAAAGGGGCGGATAAGGATGGAAGGACACCTCTCTACGCGGCATCACTCAAAGGTCACCTCGATGTTGTACAGTTTCTTATTGGTCAAGGAGCAGATCTAAAAGGGGCGGATAAGGATGGAAGGACACCTCTCCACGCGGCATCAGCAAACGGTCACCTCGATGTTGTACAGTTTCTCATTGGCCAAGGAGCAGATTTAAATAGGCATGGTAATGATGGTAGCACACTTCTAGAAGCAGCATCACTCGAAGGTCACCTCGATGTTGTACAATTTCTCATTGGCCAAGGAGCAGATCTAAAAGGGGCGGATAAGGATGGAAGGACACCTCTCTACGCGGCATCACTCAAAGGTCACCTCGATGTTGTACAGTTTCTTATTGGACAAGGAGCAGATCTAAAAGGGGCGGATAAGGATGGAAGGACACCTCTCTACGCGGCATCACTCAAAGGTCACCACGATGTTGTACAGTTTCTTATTGGTCAAGGAGCAGATCTAAAAGGGGCGGATAAGGATGGAAGGACACCTCTCTACGCGGCATCATTCAATGGTCACCTCGATGTTGTACAATTTTTTATCGGCCAAGGAGCAGATCTAAAGAGGGCGGATAAGAAAGGCACGACACCTCTCTACATGGCATCATGCAATGGTCACCTCGAGGTTGTACAGTTTCTCATTGGCCAAGGAGCAGATCTAAAGAGGGCGGATAAAGAAGGCAGGACGCCTCTCTATATGGCATCATGCAATGGTCACCTCGAGGTTGTACAGTTTCTCATTGGCCAAGGATCAGATTTAAATAGTGCTAGTAATGATGGCAGTACACCTATAGAAATGGCATCACTCGAAGGTCACCTTTATGTTGTACAGTTTCTCATTGGCCAAGGAGCAGATTTAAATAGTGTGGATAAAGATGGTATGACACCTCTCTTCACATCCTCATTCAGTGGTCACCTCGATGTTGTAGAGTTTCTCATTGACCAAGGAGTGGAACTAAATGGTGTTTGTAATGATGGCAGAACACCCCTCTTCGTCGCATCATCCACTGGTCACCTCGATGTTGTACAATTTCTCATTGGCCAAGGAGCAGATCTAAAAGGGGCGGATAAGGATGGAAGGACACCTCTCTACGCGGCATCACTCAAAGGTCACCTCGATGTTGTACAGTTTCTTATTGGACAAGGAGCAGATCTAAAAGGGGCGGATAAGGATGGAAGGACACCTCTCTACGCGGCATCACTCAAAGGTCACCTCGATGTTGTACAGTTTCTTATTGGTCAAGGAGCAGATCTAAAAGGGGCGGATAAGGATGAAAGGACACCTCTCTACGCGGCATCATTCAATGGTCACCTCGATGTTGTACAATTTTTTATTGGCCAAGGAGCAGATCTAAAGAGGGCGGATAAGAAAGGCACGACACCTCTCTACATGGCATCATGCAATGGTCACCTCGAGGTTGTACAGTTTCTCATTGGCCAAGGAGCAGATCTAAAGAGGGCGGATAAAGAAGGCAGGACGCCTCTCTATATGGCATCATGCAATGGTCACCTCGAGGTTGTACAGTTTCTCATTGGCCAAGGATCAGATTTAAATAGTGCTAGTAATGATGGCAGTACACCTATAGAAATGGCATCACTCGAAGGTCACCTTTATGTTGTACAGTTTCTCATTGGCCAAGGAGCAGATCTAAATAGTGTGGATAAAGATGGTATGACACCTCTCTTCACATCCTCATTTAGTGGTCACCTCGATGTTGTAGAGTTTCTCATTGACCAAGGAGTGGAACTAAATGGTGTTTGTAATGATGGCAGAACACCCCTCTTCGTCGCATCATCCACTGGTCACCTCGATGTTGTACAATTTCTCATTGGCCAAGGAGCAGATCTAAAAGGGGCGGATAAGGATGGAAGGACACCTCTCTACGCGGCATCACTCAAAGGTCACCTCGATGTTGTACAGTTTCTTATTGGTCAAGGAGCAGATCTAAAAGGGGCGGATAAGGATGGAAGGACACCTCTCCACGCGGCATCAGCAAACGGTCACCTCGATGTTGTACAGTTTCTCATTGGCCAAGGAGCAGATTTAAATAGGCATGGTAATGATGGTAGCACACTTCTAGAAGCAGCATCACTCGAAGGTCACCTCGATGTTGTACAGTGTCTCATTGGCCAAAAAGCAGATTTCAAAAGGGCTGGTATTGGTGGACGCACACCTCTCCAAGCGGCATCATTAAATGGTCACCTCAATGTTGTTCAGTTCCTCGTTGGCGAAAAAGCAGATCTTAATAGGCCAGGTATTGGTGGGCGCACACCACTTCAAGTGGCATCTTCCAACGGTCACCTCGATGTTGTACAATTTCTCATTGGCCAAGGAGCAGATCTTAATAGTTCTAGTTATGATGGCAGCACATCTCTGGAATTGGCATCACTCAAAGGTCACCTCGATGTTGTAGAGTTTCTCACTGGCCAGGGAGCAGATCTAAATAATATTGTTGGGCGCACACCTCTTCAAGCGGCTTCATTTAATGGTCATCTCGATGTCGTACAGTTTCTCATTAGCCAAGGAGCAGATCTAAATAGGGCTGGTATTGGGGGGCACACACCTCTCCAAGCGGCATCACTCAAAGGTCACCTCGATGTTGTACATTTTCTCATTGGCCACAAAGCAGAACCAAATAGGGCTGATAATAACTGCAGCACACCTCTCCACGCGGAGTTTATCGATAATGGTTAGTTCAGTTGGTATTTTGTACGATCCGGCTTATTTTGTGTACATTTCTTTGACATTTTCTGTTCATAATTTATAATTAATATCATTCATTTAGAATAATATCTGAATCGAATGTTGAGATTGGATTTTTAAGGGGAGAAGACCACTACGTCGATAAGGTCATTCCATTGAGCTGGCATAGTCACATTCCAACCTCCTTTGTTAAATGAAAATTGAAAACTTGTATAGGCCTTTATCATTAGTGATGAATGTATTTTATTGCAACTAATGAAACCCGAGGAAGTCCGTGGATAGCGAGACAATTTGAGTAATTCTTTTTAAAATTTGAAACATGTCAGGGTCAGATTGATCGAAAGAGACAGGTCGAGAAAAAAATGAGGGGATGGGCCACGAGGAACACTGACAATACAACACATTGTATGCTTTACAATATGCTTTAGAAAGTACCTAAACTTTAAATTGACGATCCCATGTTTCGTAGGGCTATTACGATCTTTCATGAAATGTATTACCTCGACGTACTGTACACGTGAAATAATGACCTAATTGGGCAAAAACCTTAGGGATTGATTCGAAAGCAAATCATTTTAACATGGGCAACCCAGGATATAGGTTAGTTATTAATTTGAACAGTCAAACACAACTACGGAAAACCGAAAACAAGCAATACCTTCCAAAGAAGCGGCTATCGTAGGGCCTACGCACAGTGAATATAGAGCTTTCGCCGTTCCGTGCAAGGCAGTGTGAACAAAAGGCATGGGGAAAATTAACCTGCTGTTGAAATATATTTTTTCGAAAAGATAATGCTGTTCCTTATTTGTGTTAAAAAACCATTAATGATTCGTCTATCAAAAGGCAAAAATGGTAAGAAATATATCCATATTGATCAAGGACGCCCGACGCACCCCCCCCCCCCCCCCACAACAAAAAAAGAAGAAAACCTTACCGTATTATCTTACGAAAATGCAAGTGTTTTTTTAAAAATTTACATTAAAAAAAACATTGTGAGAACTACCATGACCTAAACCGAAAATAAGTAATTACATGTAGGCCTATATACACTTTAAACAGAAAATCTGTCTTCGGTTGTTTCGTTGTAGATCCAGCCGGTGGTTCACAACAGGAAAGCGGGAGTGTCGAAAAACAGGTGGATAGCGAAGCAAACGTACACACCTCAAAATCAGAACAGCTCAACATAGACTCTGCATCTTCTGAACAGGTCGTAGAAGATGTTATTCATGATTCGACAGGGGCATCAGATGAGCAAGCAGGCTTGCTTTGCATCGAGAAGTATGGCATTGAAATCCAGTTTCATCCAAGTGAGATTTGGGGCGTTGAAGACATACAGGCAGTACCTGAAGTTCCAGCTGAACTGGTAGACCTGTTAACGGAGGACCAAGCAATAATTTGTGTTGGCCTTAAGGCGTCACCGTCTGATGCAAAGTATAAATATCCAGTAAAAGTGACGATGCCCCATTCAGCGATTTTCACAAGTCCTGATACTGCATCTACTGGGACGTACCATCGGAAAAGCAGTAAGAATCTTTACAGTTAACAACTAAATTATTCAAACCTTACCAAGTTTTTGTAATTTCTGAAGTATGTGAAAACTTGACTTGTCCTGAATTTCATGTTTCTAGAGAATGGGACATATTCAAACGTTAATACATCTAAAAGTATTCAACAAAGTCTGTAATTTCAACGTCAAGTTGACACAATGTCATTTGTTTTTGTAAATTGGGTAGATCATTCTATCCCAAGCAAAATGACACCAATCCAAGATCATACATGTCGATAAAGGGATTTGTTTTTAATTCTTTTTGTGAGATACCGTCTTGAGGAAATTTCTCTCTGCTTCAAACATAACTACGTTTTTTTTCTTTTAAAGAGGTATACATTGGGGTGATCTATCGTATAATCGGTGGTAAAAAGCTGGGGTACTCACCTCCTCCGTCGCTTCTGCGTTCTCTGAAATTTGTATTTTTTAAATATTTTTTTGCTTTGCTTTGTTTTCGATTTTGCAAACAAGAACAAATTGCGATTACACATCTGTCTTGTGTTTTCAATTAAAAGGCTCCGACAGTTTTTCGTTGATTTCCGCTGCCAATGGTGACCCTCGATGTGTTGTTAGAGAGCGAGACCTTGACCTCTATATTTCTCACTTCTCTGAATGGTGGATTGTTGCCTTCATCACAAAGGTATTCGTGGGCAAACGTGTCATCTGTACGCCTTTCGTACCCGAACCGAGCCATATGAACACTAAGCATCTGTTGAGGCTCTGCATTAGAGACAGTAACCAAGGGAAAGCGGAGGTATGAACGGGGAGGGGTATTGTGACAAAATGGCAGGAATTTACCAAGGAGGTTTGTCGACAAACCTAGGTTTATGTGCGTCATATGACGCGTTTCAACGCGTTTTTACAAACCTTGGTCTGTAAAAACGCGTCATATTACGCACATAAACCTAGGTTTGTCGGCAAACCTCCTTTGTGTATTCGGGCCAATTTGTTTAAAGACTAGTAAAGTACTAATGTCATATTCGCTTTTCGTCCAGGTTACTGGTTCAGAACAACAGAGCCTGCGTATGAATTTCACCACAAAATGACAAGCAACGTGTGCTGCAGCAGGGCAAATAGACCATCTTCATATTGTAATGGAGTGTTATGCGCACACTTTAAGTGATCGAATTCACCTGTTAGGAATGATTTAGTTAAAATTCAGAATATAAATGTCATACATTACTTGATGAAAGGACAAACATCAAAGCTTTTCCTGCCTTGTCCTACAATACGGAACGTTTGCCACAGGCAATTTTGCATCGATACAAATCTCATTCACCTGATAAGAATAATAGTGTTTCAATAGACATAATACAAACTGCATACATTAGTTGTTGCCAGGTTGGACAAACATGATGGCTTGCGATACCTAGCAACACTTCATATGTGCAGTTTGCATTCTGACTATTGAAATACTATTATTCTTATCGGGTGAATGAATCAATGTGTATTGAGGAATTTCACAAAGACTTATGTATTATATTTGATTTCATTTATGAAAACGACCTATTGCAAACATGAGTCCTTATTGACTGATCTATTTCATCGGATCCGGACACCTACCCCCTGGACATCCACCTCCGGATAAAACTTAAGATGAAAAATGACAAAGTGTTTAAACGTTAGTCATTCTTCCGTTCTTAATGTTGTTGTTTTAATTTTTGTTTTCAATTTAATGGCATATGGTTTTCTTGCTCATTTAAAATGTAAACTGTATATTATTGTATAAGAGTTTATAGCATTACAAATTTTGGGGTTACTTTCTTTTCATTGTACATGTATATTCTTTTCATATCATAACAAATCAGTCGGAACCCGGATACGTGACACCGATAAAGGGAGAAGAGTATTTTGTGGCATGGCGTTCTGGCGATCTTAAAGTAACCTGCCAGGTAGACGACAAGGAAACATACACCAAGGCAAGTTTATATCAATGCTTTAGTTACAACGACAAACCAACTCAAAATTCACTGATCGATTTGTTGGCTATTCAGAGCAATGTGTTTGTTTGGTTGGTGTGATGTCGGTCTGTATGACAGTTCCATAGCGTATTGAGAGACATAGTTGTGACACGCGGACACGTACGCGATCAAATGTAAAATCATGGAGCTGCAACTAGTTCCCTCCCACATACAATGTCTATATAGGAGGGAACTTATTTGAAAAACACCCACCTCTCTCAATACTGTGATGGAGGTATACTGGAGAGGGAAAACAAGTAGTTATGCCATTTTTTCTAATCGTAACAGTTGAATGAAAAGTTTACATTACAATTAAAGTTACTCGATTATATTACCTGAATATGAATGTTTATCTATCCTGGCAAATATATGCCACATTTCTTACTAAAGGTGTATTAAAGTGATATTGCGTATCAATTAAATAATAATAATAATATTGTTAATTTACCATCGCTCGACGATAGTGTGTGTGCGTGTTTTGTTGCGAGCAGACGTGGGTGTGCGTTTGATTACTCAACCATTTTAATTCATAGCACGCATTCGTAAAAACGGTTATTGTTCACGCTTATCGGACTGTGCTGTGTGTTTCAAACGCGCTACTCATAGAACCATCACGTGAATCAGAACATCTCCAAAACAAACTGGCACGGGGGGATTTGGGGCTTGGCACAACGGGGATTAGCCCTGTGGCATGATAAGAAACAATTTATTTTATATAGGATGATACCTACGGGGTCTAATAGAAACACATGTAACACCATTAAACTGTAGCCTAGCTGTAGAGGCAGAGATAATATGTAATTACGCGAATCGTTTAGGTCATACGATCTAATTAATGGGCATGACGGGTACATTTAATGTGTATCTATAATTGTTATCCTATGTCTTTCTTAACAGACACAACAGGAAACTCTGTTTCATAAATCACTTGAGGTCAATGTACGGTTCGTCGTTAACACTCCAGCCGCTGACCAATCTAAAGTCTTCGTCCAGTTCATCTTGGAACAAAGCGCAAAGATGGAAATTATTTGTCCGATGAATCTGTCAGGTAAGTGTTGATCGCTTAAAAACATATAAATGTAGGCCCCTAGCTTAGCCTTCAGCTTTATAACGAAGAAAGGAAGAAGGAGAAGTAAGAAGAACAACAACAACATTTAGAAGTATACATGTTAGTCTCATAACCTGTTTCAAACGGTTAAACGACAGGAATTAGGTTTCGAAAAAAAAATACAAGAAATTTTAAAATGTTAACAAATTATAAAATCGTCCCCAGAAAATGTGTCAGAAAAATATTACAGTTGGAAATACCAATGGAATTCAGTATTTGATTGAAAATATATTTAGGAAAAAGGAAACACCAACGTGAAACAGTGTTTGTTTGTTTTTTTTCTACATTTCTAACCATAGGGGACCAGATGACACCAAGGGGAAACGGAACTCAAAAGTAGGTCATATCTTTTTATTTTATTTTATTTCGAAATGTTCTGTTCCGCTTCTGATTTTCTCCTGGGAGTTAATGTACAGACCTTTTCAGTGCTTTATTCCTGACCACTTTCTCTGATTTTAAGTTGGGTCTGTTGTGTGACTTGGGTTTTCATAAAGTGGAATTTTCTTGGCTTGGGCAATTTATTTGCGCTGTTAAATTTTCTTCTCCATTATTGTAATTTAAATAAGTGACAGTCTTGTAGGTAATAACTAATTTGATAGTTTTTATGAATTTAAAAGGAACTTCAAGAGACAATTTATTTGTTTGGTTATAATATCATAACAATACATTAATTATTGTAACCTATGTATTGTATTTAAGATAGTGGTGGTGGTGGTTATTTTACTTGACTGCTAAGAAAGCATAAATGCTTGTAAGTAAGCAACCGTGCAGCCGACGGCTTTAGGTCCTCTCCGAGGGACATGGTAATGAGGATTAATACCTTACCAAAGGGGGCTAGCGCATCGCCTTGGCTTCGAACCCGGGTCACCGGATTACGAGACCACTGCTCTACCGACTGAGCTATCGCGCCTTCTCATAGCTGTGCTGTACATGTAAAGTTTATTTAACATTTTTGTCTAGCTTACCCCATTCACAGTGGCCTCAAACACCGCGACAGCAGCGGGACTGTCCCGCTGCTGTCGCGGTGTTGTCTTCAGTGTGAAGGCTCGGACCCGTTATAAACTATCGCGGGATAACACCGCCTCGCGATAACGCCGCGACAAACTATCGCTAGGTTCGCCTAGCTACAGCAGCGGGACAGTCCCGCTGCTGTCGCGGTGTTTACTCAGTGTGAAGGCTCTCCGCTATAACACCGCGACAAACACGTGTGATTTGTTTACTTACCTATCACTGACCTCTTTTCTCCAGCAATGGGGAACATAAAGTGAAATAGAAATAAAGTAACCAGTGGATTCAAATTGATTTTATTATTATGTAGATATTATAATTATCCAAATAAAAATATTTCACACTTCAAAAAATTAAAATATTCTGACTGGAAGCAATAAAAATGCTAGTTTTTTAAAAAGTAATATGATCGAGGATACAAAAAGCAACTTGACATGTTTACCTGTTGCAAGCATTGAAGTATTTCTGGTCATATCGGGGTCACTCGCGGGTCATGAGCCATGCATACACGTGTTTGTTACGGAGGTAATAAAAATCACCCGCTGCAGCGTGAATGGGTACATGATATTTATCCCGCTGCTGCAGCGGGATAACTTTTCTACTGTGAATGCATTTGTAGCGGTGTTATGGCGGTGTCGCCGCTCCGCTACAACGCCGCTACAAATTTCAAAACCACTGTGAATGGGGTACTAGACAGGTTGTAAATAGACCAGTTCACGGTTAGCACATTACTGCAATGACCCCGAATATCCACAGATCTTCGAAACATGAAGAGGTCCCACTTTGTACATTTTGAAATAATCACTGCTACAGCGATGGAGGTGCTATATAAATATCCTTTGTTTCCCCTTTTCAAAGAATCCTTTTCGAAGAATACTTCCACCTGTGTATCATGGAGTGCACTGAATGTGCATGAATGA